GGGGGGGGGTGAACTGGGGGGCTGTGCCAGGAGTCCGACTGTTCCCAGGGTCCGACTGTTCCCAGGGAGCGGCTGTGCCCAGGATCCGGTGTTCCCAGGGAATGGCCATTCCCAGGGGAACTACGGTGCCCCAAGACTGGCTGTACCTGGGGACACGGCTGTTCCCAGGGTCTGACTGTTCCCAGGGATCCGGCTGTTCCCAGGGTCTGGTTGTTCCCCAGGATCCGGCTGTTCCCAGGGATCCAACTGTTCCCAGGGATCCGGCTGTTCCCAGGGTCTGGTTGTTCCCAGGGATCCAGCTGTTCCCAGGGTCTGGCTGTTCCTAGGAGTCAGCTGTGCCCAGGCACCGACTGTTCCCAGGGATCCAAATGTTCCTGAAATCTGGCTGTGCCCAGGGTCTGACTGTTCCTGGCATCCAGCTGTTCCCAGGATCAGGTTGTGCCCATCCCGGTTATTCCCACCCCCACTGACAGGTTTATTCCTGGTGTCTGATTGTTCCCGGGCTTCGGCTGTTCCCTGGATCCCGTTATTCCCAGGCTCCGGCTGTTCCCGGGATCTGGTTGTGCCCATGGGGCTGTTCCCGGTGTCCGGTTGTTCCCGCTGTCCCAGTGTTCCCAAACTCCGGCTGTTCCCGAACTCCGGCTGTTCCTGTCCCCCCCCTCCCAGTCCCCATCCCACCCCCCCCAGTGTCCCCAGTGCCGCGCCAAGATCCCCTCCCAGTCCCCCCCCCCCTCCGGGCTTTATCTCCATGGCAACCGCCAAGGGCAGCTCAAGAGCGGGGAGGGGGGCCCGGCCCTGGGGCCCCGCACCAGTGACACCAGTCCGCACCAGTTATCGGCTCCCCCAGCCCGCGGCTCTGCTCCCTGCGCCGGCCGCGCCCTCCAGTGCAGCCCAGTATCCTCCCAGTACGGACTGGGAGCCTCCTCCCGGCGCTCCCCGTCCAGATCTGCATCCCCAGTGCAGACCAGTATTCTCCCAGTACGGACTGGGAGCCTCCTCCCGGCGCTCCCCGTCCAGATCTGCACCCCCAGTGCAGACCAGTATCCTCCCAGTTCGGACCAGTGCCCCCCCCCCCAAGTCCGGACCAGCACCCCCAGGACCTCCCAGTCTGCCCTAGTGGCCCCCCAGTCTGTCCCAGTACTTCCCAGTCCCCCCTGTGCTATTCTTCCCAGTGCCCCCAGTCCATCCCAGTCCCTTCAACCTCTCCCAGTCCTTCCAGTGCCCAGTCTTCCCAATTCCTCAGTGCCCCCAGTCTGTCCCAGTCCTCCCAGTCTGTTCCAGTTCATCCCAGTTCCTTCACTCCTTCCCAGTTCCCCCAGTCTGTCCCAGTCCTCCCAGTGTCCCCGGTCCATCCCAGTTCCTCCCAGTTCCCCCGTCTGTCCCAGTTCCCCCAGTCCCCCCAGTGCCTCCAGTCCATCCCAGCCGTGGCCAGTTACCCCGGTCCTGCCACCCCTTGTCCATCCACTGCCCCCCCTTTGTCCCCTG